AATGCCTATTTAGTTAAAACTGTTTCAACTTGTTTTTAAAATCCTACGTTACATAATATTCAATCCATGTGCGAGGTTAGCTATTACATTTTACAGCACCATCTACCAATGGTAGTTACGAAAATCTGCAAAATCAATACTGATTTTACAAAACTTTCTTCTAAAACAGCTGTGATACAGTATATCTTAAACTTTTGACCACATAACGGGTTCTAATTACAAAGCGTGCTCTAAATACCTAAGTATAAATTCTTACATCTAAGAAAGATATTAACCCTTTCCACCCTAAAATCAGTATGCATATTCTCCATCCTGATCTTCATGCATTTCCTGAGGTACTGACAAGGAGAATTTGTTTACCAATCAAAAGCTTTTTTCACTGGTGATCATTTCCTTTATTCTCATGACCTTAACGTGTTATTCAGGGATGATATTGTAGGGAGAAATTTGATGCTAGTCACTCTTAGGAGTTAAAGGATTAATAGACATCTTCATATTATACTAAGGTAAATTTAAAGCAATGAAAAAAATTTGAAGAAGGAATTTTCAAAAATTGAAAGTTTTATCCTGAAGCCCTGAACCTTTTCAACTACGGACTAGATTTACATTTATTCATGAACTTTTTCACCAAAAAATCCCATTGAGGACTACATGACTTACTTTATTTTCTTGACTAATTTAAGGCCGTAAATATTTTTCTACTAGAAACAACAAATTCCATCTCACTTACATTAAAAGTAACAGCGATGGAAACTTCAGTCACAGTGAACTCTGCTTTGCTGTTCTTTGTTTAGATTACATGGAAAAGTATTAACCTCTCTTTCGTGGTTCTTTAAAACGAACAGATAAGTGTTTGATAAAACGAACGAAAATTGACCGAACTCTGATAAAAAACAGGGTTGCAGCCAGTTTTTTGACTTGTTGAAAGCGCGTTCCTTAAGAAATTTCAATTTTTGTTTTAACATTTGCAAGAGTCATATTATAAAAGTCAGGCAGGCGGAAAACAATGGTTGGCTGGGCCAACGGGACTAGAGGCTGGCTACACCCCAAAAAGTAGGTCTAATGTCTCTAACATATGGTCAGTATATTCGATAACACAATCACTGATGTTTACTTCGTCAAATTAAGCTTTAAATGGCAATCTTGGCACTGATAGAATTAGCTTGTATTAAAATGGATCAAAAAAAATTAATAACAAATTTTTCTTGTAATGATAATCTCAATTATCAAGTAATTCATGATGTAGAAGAGCCATATTCTAAAAGTCAAGTAGGTGGAAAACAATGGTAGGCCGGGCCTAAGGGGACTAGAGGCTGGCTACACCCCAAAAAAGTAAGTCTAATGTCTCTAACATATGGTCAGTAAATTCAATAACATCATCTTTGATGTTTACTTCGTCAAATTAAGCTTTGAATGGCAATCTTAGCACTGATAGAATTAGCTTGTATTAAAATGGATTTAAAAAATTATCAATTCTTCTTGTAAAGATAATCTCAATTCCACTGATCAAAATATAATGAAATAGACTGTTTTTATTTCTACACCAAAGTAAAGTTACACATCTCAAGTTCCATTTAACAAAAAGTAAAAAGTAATGAAAAATAGCCAAAAACTTCCAAAATAGAGGGACATTTCAAGCTTCCAAGTTCCTCCGCCATTTTTTCATTCTTTTTGAGAAGAAAGAAAAGCCAATTTTTTATTTATGTGATTTAATATTCAAATTTTTCTTTCCTTTCCCATGAAGTCGAGAGTGACGTCATCTCCAATTAGCGAAAAGGGCGCCCAGTGTTTGATGTCGCAGAACTTGTCTGATTCTCTGAGGCTTTTCATGGCCAGGTTCAGTGACTCGCATGCAGGTTTACCTTCTGCAAGGTGTTGATAAAAGCATTTCATGAACTCGAGAGTAGCCTCGTCATCAATCGCCCACAGGGACACCACAACAGACCGAGCACCAGCCCCTATAAAAGCGCGCGCAATGCCAACCACACCTTCAGCCTTGATCTCACCCCGACCACTGTGGCAGCAACTAAGCACAACAAGTTTGGCGTGAAGTTGAACGGTCAACACATCTCCAATTGTTAAAATGTAGTCCTCCTCCGTTGGCACATTAGATATTCGGTCTGGGTCAGGTGTAAGAGCAATTTCGCCAGTTTCCATACATCCGTGTGCTGCAAAGTGAACTAACGAAACGGAACTGAGTCTTTTCAACACCTCACGTTTCGTGGCCTGTCTGCCAGTGATTGGGGTAATATTCAGAATTTTTCCGATCATTTCTACTTCTTCTTTAGCAGACGGAAGCTGCTCGAGGGGTTTTTCTCCCTTGCTGTCAGTAACCTCGGTTACCCACGGATCTCCAACAAGTAACGCACCACTGCTTTTGTGATAATCATCTGGGCAATCGGCAATGAGTCTAAGACTTGTTAACGATGGGGCGAGTCGGATTCTGAACGATTCACACATGTATTTAGAATTACCATCCTTGAGTGCAGCGTAAGGAGCGAGCCACAGGGGTCCATCGGGAATAATGACTAGCTCATCCCCTTGAACCAGGTCAGCCACCGGCTTTATAACGATATCATACAAAGTGCTCAAGCATTCGTTTTGTTGGATGGGAGGTTGAGGGTTGTGTTCTTTAGTTTTCTCATCCACTTTTGAATGGCTCTTCCTCAAAGCATCCAAAGATCGATTCTCACATCTCACGTTAGAACGAACACCAAGTTGTGTATAGGCACAGCACATGAGCGACTCAAAGGACTGGCTAGCTCCACAATTCTCTAAAACAGAACCATTAAGTTTACTTTGTCTTAACTGAACTTGTTTTCCTAAGGACACAACCCAAAGATTGAGTTCAGCTTTGTCCACTGCCTGAAAGACAGTGCTCGATGGAACGTTTTTTAAAACTGCTAAATCTTCATCGCCTCCCTTGTGCTGGCTTGTGCCACCACAAAAACGGGATTCCATGAGGTCGGTTAGAGCTTGCGCTCGTCCTTTCTCAGCGGCAAGTAAAGACTCATCTATATTACCTTGCTCTACGAGAACTCTCCACAAACCCGTATACGCGTCTTGGTACCGATTTCGAAAGTTGACTTTCCACTCATCTTTAGATTTTAGAAGTACTCTCAAGGAATTGTATAAGGTTATGCTAACTTTATAATGTTCAACGGCTTTTGGCAGTCGACCCTGTGACTCAAAAACGCGTCCTATTAAATAGAACGCCAATGCCTCCAAGGATTTGTCTTCTACCTTTTTGGTAATTTCGAGCATTAGGTTGTATGATTTGTTAGCGTTAATCAAATCTCCCAGATAAAAGTATACATTGCCAAGATTGCCATGGGCACGACCCTCCCCATGCTTGTCTCCTACTTCTTTAGCTATTTTCAGATGTAAGTTGTGGTGCTCTATGGCTTTTTTGAAGGCACCCTGACTTTGAAAAGCATTGCCAAGATTGCCATAAGCGGTACCCTCCCCACGCTTGTCTCCTACTCCTTTAGCTCTTTTAAGATGTAGGTTGTGGTACTCTATGGCTTTTCTGAAATCACCAAGACTCCCATAAGCACTGCCAAGGTTGCCATAGGCGTTACCCTCCCCAAGCTTGTCTCCTACTTCTTTAGCTATTTTAAGATGTAGGTTGTGGTACTCTAGGGCTTTTTTGAAATCACCAAGACTCCAATAAGCATTGCCAAGATTGCCATAGGCATCACCCTCCCCATACTTGTCTCCTACTTCTTTAGCTCTTTTAAGAT